CCAACATGGAACCATCGACTCCACACAAGATGACCACATTGTTGCCAAAATTGTTCCAACGCACGGTTGAATTGTTCAAACTGAGGTTTTGGTTGTAAAAATGATAAAACAGTGTGATATTTGCGCCAAGGAGCTTGCATGACTGCTTGTCTATAAGCAAGAACTAGTTGAGATGGAGCATTTGCCAAAGCAGCATGCGAACATTGTAGAATTTCTTGAATATCACGATCATCTCTTGAAGGCAAAGGAGGCAATTGATCATTATATTGAACATCCATAGGACGATTTGATGGATTTTGCACAGGTTCAACACTCTTTTTTGCACCATTAGCTGCAATAGGTGTTGTAATATTGATTGATTGTGTTGATTGTGCCGAGTTTTCTTCACAACAATGACCAGAAGTTGTAGCTTCACGTGCAACCACTTTATCAGTCCCACTTTCTTCAGTAGTGATGACTGTAATCTGCATCTTGTCCATGTTTACTTGTGGTTCAATTTTCACAATATCTTTTTCATCATTTGGCGATGAATCAATTGTAAAATTGCTTTCATCATTTTTACTTGTATCTTCATCGTCTGAGCTTGGTGGAGTACAATCTTCCATTTCAGGTTCTACATTCTCCATACGTACAGCAGCTTGAATTCTTTCTGATAGAGTGCTTTCTGTGGACATTTTCAAGCGTTTGATCGGACTTGAATTTTGAGTTGCAGGACGTTTGATCAAAGCAGAAGATGGGGTTGCAAAGGGTAGAATCGTGACTGTAAGCTTCTCATTAACAAAGGCATCCACGTTGCTTCCATCCACCCAAGCTTTAATCAAATGATCAAGATTACCACAAGTCGTGACATTTTGCTCCACAAACGACCAGAACGACGAGACTGTGTTGGCTTTAAGCTCTGGTGCTCTGTACTCAGCCAAAGAAGCCTTTAGAGCATCTCGCTCAGCTTCTACAGCACGTAGCTTCTCATTAAAGTCTACTTCTGCATCATCGAGTGCCGCTCGGACGCGGTCAATGGTACTCATCATTGCCGTAGAAATCTTTTTGTCCAATAAAAAATGAGCTTGCCTTTATCATGTCTCATGGGCTCTTCTATCGAATATGAGAGAGGTGTCGATAATACAGAGTGTTTTACTATTGTCTATGGTTAGATAAATAAATAAATGAATGAATTGCGTATGGATTAAGCGATGTGTGAAAGAAATATGACTAAATAAAGAGATATAGAGCTATATTCATTCATTGAACACTATTTATGTGTTTTTTTAAATAATGTAATATCGATATGGTGTTGTTCAATTTGGTCAAGATTAGATACTTTTTGAAATATATAGGAAAATGTATTGAAACTATTTTGGAAAATATTGGGCATAAAAAATTTACAAATATTGAGATAAAACATATAGTGAAAATACCAGAAAATTTAGGCTATACAAAAAATGCATGAAAATTGGTGCGTGGAAAATAGTGATGAAATAAGTGTACAAGAGATAGAGAATAGATGTGAATGGTAAAAGAATTATCATAAAGATAGATTTACATAGCTTCATCTTGATGATTGTACATTTCCATGATACTTTCAGGTGTGATGGTTTTAAAATTGGCATTGAGTGTACTAATAACATTGTACACTTTTGCAATTGTTTTACGATCAATAGCACTTGTAGGAGTTTGTGCATGAGTTGCTTTTCGTTCAGTCCATACATCAGCTCTTGATTCATTTGTTGTAAGAGATTCACTGTCATGTTCAATTGAACGACTGATCCAAATATAACCATTGCAACCCAAAATCACATCAATACCAATAGGTAATTGTAGCATGTGCTGCTTTAAACGTTTAACAAGAGCTGGTTGTACAACAATAAGTTGTCCATTTTCCAATTTACCATAACGTAGAGAACGAGTATGTAGCCACATAGTTCCATCATATCGAACTTCTTGAACTTCAGCACTAATAAGTTCACATTCTTCAAAGAAGGAACGCATTTGCAATTGATCTTCATACGTTCGACGACGTTGAGCACCACCAGGTAAATTTACCGATGATAACATCAATACAGCATCTTGTTGGCCATTAATATCTACTTTCCATCGTTTACTACCAACTTCCGAGATACGTCCAACAACAATATCACCAACTTCACCAATATATCGACTTACAAGTGGTCGAACACTCACAAGTTGATTTACTTTTTCCACAACACCAGCCACACTTGCTAATAATTCCCCATTTTCAACGTACGTGCCATGGCCACGAAGAAATCCTGGTTCACTACTAATCACTTGTCCAGGGGTCACTACTACATACGTAGCTTGTAATCGTTCAAGTGTCTTCATATCCAACGCAGCATTCTTCTCAGAGAAGTCATCAAGTGCTTGAAGCTCGAGCATTCTTCTAATATGTTAGTGCAATCTTTGTATTGGTTAAAATTCTTGATATATTTGTAATTTGATTGGCTTTATCAATATCCTTTTTAACCAATTACAATCAATACAATGAATGGTGCAAAGTTGAAACTGTATAAAACATGTTGGAAATGAAGTCATTTTTACATTTAAAGATTACATAATAATTAATTCTGTTTAAAACAGCTTTACACATTTGAAATATTACAATATTAATATTCATTCTATTTTTATAAAGAATTATTGGTATCTGAGTATAATGTATGTAAAGATGAAGAATTAATTAAAATAGAGGAATTAAAATGGACTGTTTTTTATTGATATGAAATTTATTGATTGATTTTGATACATAATCATAGCACATCTTAGTGAAATCATTTTTTAATTGACCAAGAAGAGAAGAATGAGTCTACCTAATGTACCCACTGTGGGCTGTTTAGGCGGTGGACAGCTTGGACGAATGATGGGATATGCTGCTCATCGTTTAGGTGTTAATTTGATCTGTTTGGATCCACAAGGCAAAGAATCTCCAGCTGGACAAGTGACCCAAAGCGTTGACGGATCTTTTACTGATGCTGCTGCCATTGAAACTTTGGCTAACAAAGTTGATGTGCTTACTGTTGAAATTGAACATGTTAATGCACAAACACTTCGTTCATTGCAAAAGTCGCATCCCAAATTACAAATTCATCCAAGTCCAGATACAATTGCTCTTATTCAAGATAAATTTGCTCAAAAAGAATTTTGCCGTGATGTCGATGTACCTCTTGGACCATTTATGGCAATTAATACTCAAGCTGATGCTGTGGCTGCTGGTACAAAATATGGATATCCTTACATGCTTAAATCTCGACATTGGTCGTATGATGGTAAGGGTAATGCTGTTGTTGCCTCTGAAAAAGATATTGCTGCTGCTATCAAATCTTTAGCTCCAGAAATGGCTGCTGGTAAATTGTATGCTGAAAAATGGGTACCTTTTTCTAAAGAATTAGCTATTATGGTGGTTCGACAAGGTACTGATGTGCGAGCTTATCCAGTTGTCGAAACAACTCAAAAGGATAACATTTGCCACACTGTTTTGTCTCCTGCTGTACTTCCAAACAAAGCTCTTCATGAAGCTGCTAAAGAAATGGCTATGAAGGTTGTTTCTGCATTGAGTGGCAATGGTATCTTTGGTATTGAAATGTTCCTTACTGCTGACAACAAATTGTTGCTTAATGAAATTGCTCCTCGACCACATAATTCTGGTCATTACACAATTGAAGCATGTGAGACTGATCAATTTGAAAATCACATTCGTGCTGTAGCCAACATCCCACTTGGTTCACCAGCATTGAAAGTTGGTGCTTCGTGGATGTTGAACGTTCTTGGCACTGCTAAACCAGAAGAAACTACGAAGCTCATTGCGCATGCAGCTACAGTGCCTGGAGCTAGTGTTCACTGGTATGGCAAAGCTGCCATTCGCCCTGGTCGTAAAGTTGGTCACATTACAGTAGTTGCTGACTCAATGTCTGCACTTTTGGAACGTGCTGGCCAAGTCAGTCCATCAGCTAAGCCTTCTGTAAAGCCTTCACCTGTTGTCGGTATCATTATGGGTTCGGACTCGGATTTGCCATCGATGGCTGCTGCTGCTAAAGTTTTGGAACAATTTGATGTACCT